AAAGGTATGGTAAATGTGAGGTCAGGTCCAGTGACACACAGTTTGGGTAGGTCCAACGGTCCTCAACAAGCGTGTGGACCATTATGAAAGCTGCAACGTGTAAACCGTACAGTGCCTGGTTCCTCGACAGCCTGTGACCCTGTGGGTCCCCGCGTCGTCTTCAAGTATTGAAGATAACTCTGAATCTGAGATGGACATGGCAGATGTTGTCCCCCCCAGACCCCTTTGACACCTGAAGAACTGAATGAAATCTTCCAAGATGCTCTGAGCACAAGAGGTGCGTCACAGTGTGTTGCACGCTGCCCAGTGCTAAAACGCCCCAGAGGAGCTTCAAAAAAAGAAGAACTGGCCAATGTCCTCAGATGCAGACAGGGATGGATGTAACAATTGTAACAAGGTCAGCCAAGTGGACCTCCATAGAATGGGTTCCCTGACTGGGCCTGGTAACCTGCTCCAATCAGGGAGCCTTTGCTGATAGACGCAGACGAGAGTGGCAGACATACTGTTCACTGAGAGCTGGTGATGAGGGAGCTGGATCAGTGTCGAGGGCTCTCAATGTGTAAATAAAGGATGACTTGATAATGGGATACTGGCCTCCTGGAGTTAGTTCACTAATCATCCAAGATCAGTTGAGCTGCATTCCTACAGTGCCTTCACAATTCTTGATATGGTGATCGGAGGTTTGTTGGCCTTAAGATCCAGTTGACAAAAATTAATCAAATTGGTTGCAATAACAGTAGTCATTTTAAATAGTTGCTATCAGTATGTAAAGCAAACCTCCCAGTTACCTTTGCATGGAATGACTTTTCCCATGACTTCACTGATTTCTCTTTGACCTGAAATTGTTTACTTTAACTTGGCACAGATGTGGTCAATAGACATAGCAGTAATAGCAAATAGACAAAGGAAAACCAAGTGTTTCTAAGCGCTTGAATCTAATAATTCCACCCTATTAAAGTGGCTTAGAAGCAGCTAGCATCCATGACAATTCATAAAGAGCAATAATTAGATGATTTCTTGTTGCAAAAAATTCAGACTACTTTGGGATGAGTGGTCAAAGACAATCAGATTAAAAACCAGTAACATTTTACCATTTGTCTTTCTCTTATTCCATTGCTCTTTACTGAAAGGTTGGGATCAATTCAAGATGTCATCTTTAGAGTATCAATGTAAACTCATCAATCTCTACAGACAATTTGGTGACTAACTTTTAGTTTACCAATTTTGAGGATCAATCTAATTCTAAACCAATCCCAAGTTAGTACATTAAATAGTTTGATTTGTGCCTGTTTACTCTGTACTCTGAGGAACACAAGCCAGTGCTGGCTCATTGGGAGCCTGAAATATGGTGGCTGGTGCTTTTATTTCCAATTTATTTGTGCTTTAAACCCAGATTATAGTACTTTGTGTAATTATTTAGACTAGGTCAAGACGTTTTTTATGGCAGTGTCTTTCAAAGTTTTGTGAAAAGTCTCTCAATTTGAAGTGATGGTGACTTAAATTCACTTGTAGACTGTTAGTATTAAGAGACTAGTGATGCATGTATGATGTTTCAAGTCCGAGAATGAAGTGAAAGAGCACTTTATTAGTTTCATTTGTGCTGCAGTTCAGTGATCGTATTGTGCCTCTGTCATGAAGTTGCTCACTGTTTTAAAGACCTGGTAGCCGATGACAAAACTAACATGTCACCTAATAGTGAGTCCGATCAGAGTAAACCTTAGAGCAATTTAATTTGCAAATTTGAATGACTATATTGATTCAGTGAATACTTCGGTTAATGAAATCTTAGACATCTGGAAGCTAAGAACTGATCGTGTAAACCTTGTCCTACACCTATAACAGTAAAACAGTTGTGGACAAAATCTGGCCAGAATAGTAGTTTGGTAGAAGTTTGGAATGGGCCTTACTTGGAGCTTGTCTTTGTCTTTGTCTTAGTTTTTTGTGGATTAGGATGTGGACTCGCTTGCATAAAGTAATTGATTGCGTTTCTAAAATAATTTAATTAATACCTTTAAATGAGATTTGGGTATAAATTGCACCAATACTGCTCAAATAGATGTGTTTGTATTGCTTTTTATGTGAAGCAAACATACTTTCTTGAAAAAAAAATTGTATATAAAAGAAATGCATCCGTTCAGACTATTTGTTTCTGCCCTTCTGTTCGTTACATATGCATTTGATTCTTTGATTTGACTATTTTGTCTCTTCTACCATACCTGGAATTCTGTTTTTGTATCCATCTAATCTTTGTATGAAGAATATTACAAGACCATCCTTGTCTCTTTTTCAGTATACACTCCTGTCCTGTCACTGTTTAACTTGCAATAATGTAGATTTCTTTCCCCAACGTCAAGTGTTATTCACTATCTGATTTAAATCCCTGGTGTTCTATCTTGATCAAGTTCTCTCATGGCTTAAAACTGCAAATTTGACCATTAACTCTTCCCCATTTGCTTACTGTAGGCATATGTGTTGTGGCTCTTTTAACACTCTTGACCCCTTTCTGTCTGTCTTGGTCAATTTTTTGGTCAGTTTATGCACGATTCATCCAGTTTCAACTCTTGTTTTTTTGGGATGGTTGAGTTTTCTGTTTTGGTGTTTTCAGTGCTGGGTGTGGCCTACAAATAAATCTTTCAATTTCATCCTATGATTTTACAATGCGGATACTTTATATATAAACCTACTTTTGAATACAATTATAAGCTATGTATAGCAAAGTATTTGTGCAAAGTTTAAGAAAATTAGAAATTGTTTTTTCTGATAAAATGCTTTTATAGATTTTTAGCTTTCTGCCCATAAAGATTATTTAGTGAGTATTGGTGTTTTAAGTACATGAAACTTCAATTATGCTGAGTTTAATAGAGGTATGTAGAAAGCCTTAAATTTTAATAATGAAAATATGAAGTATCTAATTTTTCCATGTTTCTTTGAATTTCTTATTCATAGAAACATGGACTCCTTACAGTGCAGAAAGAGGCTGTTTGGCCCATCAAGTCAGCACTGACCCTTTGAAGGGAAAGTAAAGTAAATCTGGAAAGCAGATCTATATTTACAGATCATGCTGTCCTTATGAAAAGGCTATGCACTTGATTTTTTGTGATGACATGTTAGTCTTCACTGCTGTAAACTCGGTTGTCAAATGTATGAAATTTGCTGAAATTATGCCACTGTTGGGGAGCTTTAAATGTAAAATACCAATGAGTAGAACTTCTAGCTCCAGAATGCAACCTTTGAAGGGAAGGTAAGTTTATTTTTGTTATCTGGGCTGCTAATAATAAATTAAGAACCTAGTTATCACTGATAAAATAATTATTTCTGACAGCTGTGATATGCCAATTTTTTTTTAATTTTCTGGAATGCTAACTTAAAAAGTTGCTGGACTGAAAATTTTAAAAAATATTTCTAGAAACGCATTTTATCACATTTATTCAATCTAAGGCTCATTAACTATTTCATCTAACTTGCAGTTTTATTTTTGCTTCTGATCCCAATCTCCAGTGTGCTTCCTTATTAACATAATGTTAAACAGTAACAACTGTGGGTGGGATTTCATCGGTTAATAAGAGCATTTCTGTGCTCCCAACGTCTATATACTTGAAGTCTATAACTCTGTCATGAAAATACTTTTTTAAAAAAAGTGAATAGTTACTTGCTATAAAAAAAAAAGTTGCCCCCTTTGCTCCTTGCCTGTCATCAAATTGTATATGTATTTAATAAAAGCAAAATACTCCACGTGCTGGAAACCTGAGACAAATACAGAATGCTGGAGAAACTCCGCAGGTGTGGCAGCATCTGTGGAAAGAGCAACAGTGTTAATGTTTTGAGATGGTTTGACTCGTCTTCAGATCTGAAGTTATTTTGAATTGTCCTGATTACTTATTCAGGGGTTGGGGAATGGTGGTCTTGGTGGGCAAAGGGAAAAATACCCATGCTTAGTTTCTAGGTTATGAATTGAAGACTAGTGTGACTTTAGTTAATGGTGAAAACAGATGTCATATGTTTGCCATACTAAAGTGACATGCCTATTCGAAAGTCTGGGGTGAACCAGCTCCCAGATTTTTGATTTGATATTTTTAATCTGTAATAAGAAGGTGCCAGGTTTGGCTGCTTTTATATTCCCCTATTTTAATCATTCCACCATTTTCAACTGCTATATCATAATTTTTGGAACTTTCTTTTGTATATGCTGCTTGCTTTTCTATCTTTCTTTTTAAGGTATTCCTCAAGTTATTTTTTTGACTGCTTTTGTCAGCTGTTGCTCCTATTACATTTTGAGATGTGGAAAAGAATGAATTGAATGACTGGTGACCATATTGATATGGTAATCAGCAAAAACCCGAAATATGAGCTTGGTCTGTGTGTTTATTAGATCTTGTTAATAATTAATTTTACCTTTGTAAAATCAACATTTATCTGAAATCCTTTTAAATGTGATATCATTTAAGGTATTAATGTTTAACAAAATAGCTTCCTTGGGAATGTCTATGCTGTTTGTACAAAAGGAAAATAGTATGGATGCTGGAAATGTTAAAAAGAAACAAACTGTTGGAATTACTCGGCAAGTCAGACAGCATGTGTAAAGTGGAAAACAAAGTTAATGTTTCAAGTTAATCTTTTAGCGTGAGAAAAAACTGACATTTGCTGCTGAAGTTGTCAATTTTAGCTTATTCACTTAACAGTTTTCTGTTCCTTAATTTTACCATGCATTTGAAATATTTTCAAAGCAGCAATGCAGAAAGTGAATTAACAGGTTCTGCACTTACAACTGAAGATCACAAATTCGCTAGTTTCCATATATATGACACAGCTATTTTCACAAGGGTCATTGGAACCAAAATGATCTCTCCATGGGTGTTGCCTGAGATTTTCCAGCAATTTGTTTTCATTTTTGCAAGGTGCCTTCCATCTTGTGATTTTTTTTTTTTAAAAAACAAACCATATTAGTTGATTTGTGCTTTTAAGTCATATTAACTTACGATTTTATGGTTTACCATTTGCAGCTCAAGCCTGGGAGAATACGTTTAGTGCCTCGGCTTCAAGCCCAAATCCCAACAATCCTGCTGAATATTGTTCTACTATTCCACCACTGCAGCAAGCTCAGGCCTCAGGGGCACTGAGCTCTCCACCACCCACTGTCATGGTGCCTGTGGGTGTTCTGAAACACCCAGGCACAGAAGGTAAAGCTAATTTTGTACAGAAATATGTACTCTGCAAAATGTGAGCTGAGAGTTGACTTTCAACACTGTTGGCATATCTTTGTGGGACCTAAAATCGTTGGCTATTTCAGGCTTTTTGTTACTGTTCAGTTCTTTCAGTAAAATTGTTTTTTTCATTTGGAAGACATGGCATTCTTGTGCAAATTTCAAAAATGAAGAATTAAAAAAAATTTAAGAACACCGTTGGAATTTTTATAATAATACTTTTTGGCCTTTGAATTTCTGTTTTGAATAAAATTACATTTCAAAATAGTTGTCAGCATCTTTTTTTATTTGTGAGTAAAGGGCTTGAACATGTTGGCTGGATAATCATCTGTACAAAATACATTACTGGGCAAATCTGAACATTTTAGCGTTTCAGTGCAACTGTGTGCAAATTGTGTCAAGGTTATTTTGCATCACCATGCTTTATCATGTTAAATGAGGATTTGTTAGTGAGTATATTTGTGATCTTTTTATTTAATGAAACCCGCAGTAAAGGATTGGAGTATTTGCATGCTATGAATAACTTGAAGCTCTGGTGAATTACTGAGATCTTCCTCAAATCAAATTTTGCATTATTAGGGCAGGTAGTATTTAGGTTACCCAGTTCTTTTTGTAAATGTGAAAGATATTTTTAACTGTTTAAATATAGATCATCGTCTGTAATGCAATTTTGGATGGAAAATTAGTGAAATGACTGATTTTGTCAATTTATTAGTAAGACAGATCTGCATGACATTAGTCGTGTTAGTGTAAGTGGTGTATCTTGGTTAGCATAGACATTACAACATAGATTTTTCTTTCCTTTTTTAAAAACAGGCTTGCATCGATTTATATAGCAGAATAGGATTATGAATACTGTTTCCTTTACTGCCCTATAATGTGCTTTGTGTAATTTTAGAAAACCCTATGCTGTGGCACTAGGGTGAATTTTTTTCATTCCTGATGTGAGCCATTCTTGTTGGCACTTTGGACTGATCATTTACTTTTACTTACTAAGTTATAGATTTCAATCATGGTCCTATACCCATTAGAAACTGGGTTTAAGGCTGTTCAAACTTTTTAAATTAAAAACCTTAAAGCAAACAGAACACTTTCAATCTGCTGATCTGGTTTGATGTCCAGCTGTGTTCCAGAGGAAAAAGAAAAGTCTTAACCTGCTCTGCCATCTCACTTCCCATTTTGTTTCTTTTGAACATTCATTCTGACTTCCATAGAGTCATACAGCAGAGAAACAGATCCTTCAATCCAACTCATTCACGCCAGCCAGGCATTGACAGTTGTTTGAAAAATGGCTCTGCTTTATTTTGCATTTGACATCATAACTGTATTGCAGTTCTACAATTCATGTATGTTGTATTTTCCTTTCGTTGCTTTTCAACCCAAAATATCATGGACTCCAAAATCTCGAACTATTGTCTGTCCCAAAATATGTAGCAGCATGTCCATTTTGCATGGACCAATTGTACCTGCAATCCTGACAGTATTACTAAGTCAGGCAGGTGGATTACAGTAGAGACTAGTGGAGCTGGTGTGCCAATGAAGTCAAAGGGATTGGGTGTCTATCAAGTCAGGGGAGAGAAAGAAGAAAAATTGATGGTTTTGAATTGGCCAGAAGCTGAGTTGTATTGCTGGTGGACCTAGGTGAACACCCTGCTGGAAGGCTACTTTCCTAAGTCTGCCAAGTTACTTGAAGACTGGATGCTACATGGAAACTTGCTTTTTCAAGTTGGTAGACCCTGCATCCACTATCTTGGCAGTAGTTTACGCTGCAGGTTTGAGCCCCAAATGACAGGAAGGAAGTTAAGGAAACGGAGATTTTACAGTTGTTTAACTAGGGTACTGTCTCGTATAACAAGATACAAATACAAGATGAGTTTTAAGAATGGCTTGTGATAGCAAATAATTGCATTTGTTCCTAGTTATTTGAAGGATCTAGAACAAGGGGTGTTTTAGTTCTCAATATAGAGGGTCAAACGTTACCAATACCATAGTCTTGTATTGTGTAGATTCACAATTAGTGTTTTTTTAATGTACATTTCTTGCCTTTAAAATCTAGTCATCTGTTAGATTTTTGTAGGGCCTTGTTAGCTTGAAGTTACTTTTTCTAATGTTTTGAAGTTCGAACTCCCTAATCCTTCAGCTGTTTATATAACATGCCATCCTTCCTCAAAGCCTCGTTTTAGTATTTATCATTTAACATTGAACTAAAATACTGTTATTGTGTCTAACTTTGTAGATTCAGTGTTAAAGTTGTTTCGTGTTTGCTCGAGGCACTCAACACGTGGGTTTAGGTGGAGATGAGTAGAAACTCCTTCCATTGATGGAAAGTAGTTATCCATTTTGGCAAAAAGAGGAAGGCAGATTCTTATCTGAATGGTGGCAGTTTAGGAAAAGGTGAGGTGCAATGAGAAGTGGGTGTCATGATGGAACAGGCACTGAAGGTTGGCATGCAGGTGCAGTAGACCATTAGGAAAGCTAATGGCATGCTGGCCTTTTGTAGCAAGAGGATTTGAGTATAGGAGTAGTGATGTCATGCTGCAGTTATACAGGGCCTTGGTCAGGCCACACTTTGAGTATTGTGTGCCATTTTGGTTTCTGAGTCTGAGGAAGGACATTCTTGCTGTTGAGGAGTCCAGTGAAGGTTCACCAGGCTAATTCCTGGGATGGCAGACTGATATAAAGAAAAACTGGATTGACTGATGGGTTGAGGAGTCTATTTCCAGGCTGTACATCTCCGCGATTAGGCTTGTACTCACTGGGATTTAGAAGAACAAGGGGGTTCTCATAGCAACGTAAATTCTTATTGGATTGGACAGTTAGATGTAGGAAGAATATTCCTGATGTTGGCAAAGTTCAGAACTAGGGGTCACAGTCCAAGACTAAGGGATAAGCCATTCAAGACAGAGGCGAGAGAATTTCTTCACTCAGTTCTGAACTTGTGGAATTCTCTATCACAAAGCTGTTGGGCCAGCTTACAGATATTCATGAGGGAACTGGACCTGGCCCTTGTGGCTAAAGGGATCAAGGGGTATGGAGAGGAAGCGGGAATGAGATACTGAAATTGCATGATCAGCCATGATTATCAGGCTGGAAGGGCTGAATGGCCTGCTCCTGCACCTATTTTCTACACTTCTGTGACTTGAGAACCAGAGAACAGTAATTTTAAAGTGTTTGGCGAAAGAATGAAATGAGGGAAAGGTGTATGATTTGGAATGGGATACCAATTGGGGCGGCACGGTGGCTCAGTGGTTGTCACTGCGGCCTCACAGCTCCACGGACCCGGGTTCAATTCTCAGCCTTGGGCGACTGTCTGTGTGGAGTTTGCACGTTCTCCCCGTGTCTGCTTGGGTTTCCTCCGGGTGCTCTGGTTACTTTCCACAGTCCAAAGATATGCAGGTTAGATGGATTGGCCATGCTAAATTGCCTGTAGGGATGTGTAGATTAGGTGGGTTTTCAGGGGATGGGTCTGGATGGGATGCTCTGAGGTTTGGAGTGGACTTGTTGGGCCAAAGGGCCTGTTTCCACACTGTCGGGATTCTATGATACCGAAGAGTGTGATGGACCCCAATGCAATTTAAGGCCTTTAAAAGAGAATTGAAGAAGTACCTGCAGAGGAAACATTTGCAGGGCTGCGAAATAAAAGCTGGAAAGCCACATACAGTCAAAACTGTGGCTGTGTAGCTGCCCAGTGGTTCTGCACACACTGGCAGATGTGCTAGTGCATGCGGAAGCCATTGTCGTGCATGCGGCTTGGAAATCTGCACACCCAAGAGAAGTTGGGGATCATAGCTGGGAAGTGGGACTAGATGCATTTCTCTTGCAGAGAGCTGGCGTGGACATGATAGGCTAAATGACCTGTGTTGTCATCAAAACTTTATAACGGGTGAACATTTTTGGATAAGAAGTTTAAATTGAATTTTGCTTTGAGTTGCCTTCTGTTGGAAAAGGGAGCAGAAAAAATGTATTATTGGGAACAATACTGTGCTGTCCTCTTTCAGAAGAGGCTTGGGTAATGTGAACGTGCCTGTTATTGAACCATTTATTTAGTTTGCGCTTGATTAAGGGTAATTAGCATTGCGCATTGTATTTATCATATGAATTCGAAGTTGCAATTTGTCCCTCTGGTTTGCAAAATTTTCTTTTTAAATGCTGAGAATGATTACAATTTGGGGTTCTGGAGAAGCGTATGATCACTGCAGGAAATCATTTGCCCAGCTTGGAGCCGAAATAAATTGGGATGAGGATATATACGTTTCTTTTAGTAAATCATAGATCTACTATGAAAATCAGAACTCCATATTTCCTGATTTATCTTCCCTTTTTATGAACTTATTTTAAATTCCTCAATTGGCTGATTGAACAAAACTAACACATCAGCATAGACAAACTTGCTAACGTGAACCATAGCTTTTTATGGTCACTTTTTTGTAAGTTCATCCAGATGTGTAAACATCTGTAAGTAATAGAAATTGCTTATTTTATCCTTCTGTACATGATTTACTTTTTTTGATTGAAGAGTTATTATCAGATTGTGTTTAGAGTTTGTTAATTTATTTGCTATATGAATGGGTGCTTTGAATATATTAGTTTTATAGTCATAAGATAATTTACCATTAGTTCAATATCTGCACGCAATTGCTACCTCTTGATTTAAAGGTTAGTCTGAGAGAGCAAAGTTGAGTTGAAGGAAACTAACATGTTTGCTTATGATTTTCTCTTTTTTTTTCTTATTGCCACTTTGTTTTGGCTTGCATTGACAATTCAAGGATTAATATTAATTAAATTTGACTGATATTTAATAGTGACTCAGCCAAAGGAGCAGCGGCGTGTTTGGTTTGCTGATGGAATTTTGCCTAATGGGGAAGTTGCAGATGCAACAAAACTGTCAGCAAGTGGACCACCACCAACTGGACCCTTGGCCGTATCGCATGATCGTGGAAAAGAAGCTGTAACCAAATCTACAGCTTCTGAGGTAACAATCTCACAATACCAGTTTGGAAACAATGCTGTGTAAATATCTACTATGTGCAGAAAAATACTTTTGAGATGATTTTATTCTTCAAAGTACACTTACTAATCAGCAATTAGTTATTAATTTACAAATCCTTAATTGTCTTGTACAATTACTGATGTGTTTGCCTTTTGGTGCTACATTGAGTCGCTGATTATGTAGAAAACTGTGAACTTGCCCACTTTGACAGGAAGAATAGATAACAGGATAGCAGTAAATTGGAGAGCAGTTGCAGAATTCTAAGGTACAAAGGATCTGCGTGTTCTGGTACGTAAATCGCATGGTTAGTATGCAGATACAGCAAATAATTGAGAAGGTGAACATAGAAACCAAGAAAATATGAGCAGTAGTAGTTCATTCGGCCCTTCAAGCCTGCTTCGCTGGTCAATATGATCTCGGCTGCTCCGGCACCTTAGTATCCTATTCCCTCTTTTATCCCTTTAGCCTTAAGAACTACATCTAACCCCTTGAAAATATCCACTGTTTTGACCTCAACCACTTTCTGTTGAAGATAATTCCATAGGTTCACCCACACTCTGGGTGAAGAAATTTCTCTTCATTTCAGTCGTAAATGGCCTATCCTGTATTCTTTGACTGTGATTCCTGCTTTTGGACATCCTGAGTTTACCCTGTTTTGGCCCTGTCAGTATTCTGTGGGATCCTGTGAGCATCCCCCGCCACCTCCATCTTCTAACCTCCAATGAATGTAGCCCTAATCAATCTAGTTTCTCTGTTATCCTTCAATCAACGTTCACCAAAGCCAGAACATCCATCCTCAGATAAACGGCCCACAGTATGCCAAGTCTTGTCTCAGAAAGGCTCTGACAATTGCAGCAAGATATCCCTGCTCCTGTACTTGAATCCCCTTGCTATGAAGGCCAGTATACCATTTCGCACTTCAATTCCTGCTGCACCTGTATGTTTACTTTTAGCAATTGGTATACAAGAACACCCAGGTCTCACTGCATCACCCCCTTTTCTAATCTTTCACCAGTCAGATGATCTGTCTTCCCTTTCTTGCTACCAAAGTGGATAACCTTACATATTATACTTCATCTGCCATGTATTTTCCCACTCTCAGTACTTTCCAAATTACGGTGTAGCCTCTCTGCATGCTCCTCAATGTTCACCTTTTCATCCAATTTTGTGTTGTCTGCAAAATTTTTTTTTCTTTCTTTCTTTCTTTTTTTTTTTTTTTGCAACATTATTTCCCTGATCTAAATCACTAATATATGTATTGTGAACAGCTGGGGTCCAAGCACTGATCCCTATGGTGTACCAGTAGTCACTGCCACTCATTTGTTCCAGTTGTTTGTTTCCTGTTTGCCAACCAGTTCTTTATCCAGTAAGTTAAACCCAATCCTATGTGCTTGAATTTTACATTCTCTTATGTGGGACCTTTTTATCGAAGCCTTCTGAATATCCAAAAAAAGCCAGATCCACTGGCGGCTCATATGAAAGCTACTAGTTACATCCTCTCAAAATTCCAGTAGATTTGTCAAGTATGATTTTCTCTTCAGAAAATCCATGCTGATTCTGTCTGATCCTGTAAGTGCTTTCCAAGTACTTTGCCAGTAGATCTTTTCTTGTGGACTGTAGCATTTTCCCCATTACTGACATCCCATTAACCAGCCTGTAACTTCCTGATTTCTCTCTACTTTGTTTTTAAAAAGTGGGCTTATATTAGCTACCCTGTAGTCCATGGGAACTGTTCCAGAATTTCTCAAATCTTTAATGAGAGTCACCAATTCATTCATTATTTGGAGGGCCACTTCCTTAGTATCTTAAGTTCAGAATGTTGTCATTGATTGGAAGGAGAGTGGAAAATTAAAAGTGAAGGGTATTTAGCTTCAGTTCTCCAGGGTGTAGATGAGAACACATCTTTTAGAGTACCGTGTGCAACTTTGGTCTCCTTTTTTAAAAGATAGAAATGTGTCAGCAGTAGTTCAGCGAAGGTTTAGTTGACTGATACCTATGAAAGTAGTGTTGTGTTATGAAGAAAGGTTGGGTTGGCTGTGCCTCTGTATATTAGAGTTTTTTGAAGGACGTGAGTCCTCTTACTGAGACCCAAGATCTTGAGGATTTGATGGTGAATTCTGGGAGAAATGAGAACCAGGAGACCAGTTTATAAATAAGTGATCTTCTATTTACAACTGAGAATAAGATTTTTTGAGGGTTTTGAGTTTTTGTAACACTCTCTTCCCTAGAGACTGATGGCAGCAGAATCATTGAATATATTTAAGGTAGAGGTAAATAGATTCTTGACTAATGAGGCAGTCAAAAGGTTATCACGTAGGTGAAAATGTGGAAATGTGGAGTTGAGGCCACAAGCTGTTTAGCCATGACTTTATCAAATGGTGAAGCAGGCTCAAGAGGTGAATGATCCATTCCTGCTCTTAATTGATAAGATTGTGCGTTCCTCTGAAGCATAACAATTAGCAGGGCGTGGTATAATAGAGAGCATGCAGATGTGCATTTACAATAAAATAATGGGTCTTTTGGATTTGTCTTCCATAGATGCATTTTCAGGTCCAGTGATGCCAATTCCTTCCATAAATGGTGCAGGCACCTTAATTTTTGAGAGTAGATTTCTTCTTTTTTTTAAATTTGAGACAGTGGGGATGTTGGATGAACTCTGAAGCAGATCATCCGCTTGGCACTTTGGCTTTGTCTTTTTACTCCTGTACTGTACTCTGTTATTAAGAAGGGAATATTCAGTTTCTTTCTTGGAATAGTCAGTTTTTTTCCTTTGAACATTGCTTTAATTTTCCACCATTCACAACTGGGTGTGATAGGACGGCTGATTTTTGTTGTGGATTGCATCACTGTATTTGTAGTATGTCAGTTCCATTGTTTACCGTACATGTAGTCCTTTTTGCCAGGTTGACACCTGATATTTAGCTATACCTATTGCTGTCCCTGGCATGCTGTTCTAACTTGTGGTTGATCTGCTGGTTTGATGGTAATGCCAGAGTGAAAGATGCGCCTGATTCAGACTACAGATCGTTGTTAAGTCCATTACTTCTGCTGAAGTAATGCACCACAGTGTCGCTCAAAGCCCAGTTTTGAACTGCTGGATCTGTTCTGAATTGTTTCTATTTACTTTTTTTTTGGACAGTCCTTGTCAACCTATAATGACTTATTTCCACTGTGTAATTCAATGGGTTCTGAAATGCCTGGCAAGTCCAGTTTGTGATATGCAAACTCTGTCACATGGGGGCAGGATGGGCTGGGTAGATGGGTTGTTTGAAGGTTTGCGATGCTTCAACTTGTAGACATTTCGGGAATGTGAGGAGGCAGTGTGTTTGGTGCCTTCCTGAATGAGCCATCTTGATTTTCCTCAAGGTCTTCCCGAGTCGGTGGATGTGTTTGAAAGTTGGAGATCTCGAGTGCTATTTATAGAATAGCAGCGAGTTCTTACAATTTGTGGCAGTGAAGCTACAAATTGTATCAAAACAAGTCGTTTACATGGCTGTTCATACAAAACAGCGCCCACGTATACCTGCAGAAGACACCACATTCCTGTGTCTCTCCTTGGTGATATTGACAATAGATGAAGTTGTAAATTAATATGAAATATAGCTGTGAAAGTGAAGAAGCATTACTTGCACAGTATTTGTACGTTGTACATTAAAATGTGTGGCAGCAGTACCAGTGACCCTTTTTTCTTTTTTTTTGCTGTCAAAGTTTGCTCCAAAAAGACTCTTAAATTATCCACACTGGGGCAAATTGGATTTAGTCCTGGAGAATGGCTTTGTTTCTACCTTCAACTAAAAACAGTCTTATTAGTTGATATGCCATTGCAACATCTCTTTCATGCAGTTACCATTCTTTTTATTAAGTTAATATTTGGTGAACGAGGAAGAGAGAACTACCTTTCTTCATAAATTGCCAGTGATGTAATCTTGCTTTTTGTAATTCTTTACTGTTGCTCTCTGGTTACTGGAGTGGTCGTCCTATAAATGTTTTTCCTATGTACATGATATAAAAGGTAGGCTTGTTTAAAATGTGTGTAATTTGGTTCATTTAATAACTGACCTTTTTTCAAATTTTATTCTGTTTTAGAATGTCACTGCATCAGCAACAGGTAGTACAGCTCAGATTGGCAGTCCTGTTGGAAGTTCAATTAATTTGGTACCAGAAGATGGCCTCCCACCTATTCTTATCTCCACAGGTGTCAAAGGAGGTAAGTCTGGTTATTCAAATGGCTCTTCACTGATCAGCTTCCTGCTTTTGGGGTCTGATTTTGGAGCAAATTTAGAATTGTAATCTACAATCCAGTTGACTGTTTATTTGAGTTTTGAAAAGGTGGAATAATGGAAACACATATCTATTATCAAGTGACCTAGGATTGTAAAAGTTGATTTTACATCAGTGTGTCCACTTGCTAACTTTTTTACTCTTTGTCCTGGTTATGATTGTATAAAAATTACCTTGAGTGTCATAAAGGTCAGACTGTTTGTTTGAGTATTCCTGAATTCTATTATCTCTGCTTGCGTTTAGCACTACTCTATATAGTTCTTTCACTTCTCGTAATCAGTGAATCTCTTCCACTAGTTTGTGACCTAAAATATCTTCATAATAGGTTACTGGAACATTTGTTTTCTTAACTCCCTCCAAATTGGTATTGAAGGAAGATTGGCTGGAAGGAAGAATGGTTAGCAATGTTGATTTTTAAGGAGAATATTGCGTTGTTGGTGACAGAGTACCTTTTAAGGGATCAAGGGTAGAATCAATTTGGTTAGAATTCCCAAATTCCTATGAAATGGTATAATTGTACAACGGATATTAAGAGGCTGGGGTTGAATAGGGATCAGAAAGGGGATCTATGCGTTGAGGAGCATTGGGTTGGCAAAGATGTTAAATTAGTACATGCTTCTTTACTAAGAATATGCTGCTGGAGTCAGTGAATGAGGTAGTTAAAATACTGAATAAATATAGACAAAAGAGGAAATTTTTTTTTTAAAAAGTGTAATTAAAGTTGATACATTGCCAGGAATGGATGGGATGCATCAGAGGACACAAGTATGGATGGAATTTTGAAGTACTGGACATAGTAATCTAATCTTTGAGCTATGGGAGTGTTGCCAGAGGACTGGAGAAAATTGTCATTCTGGCAAATGTTAAACAACTAAAAGCAGTACAGATTTGAGGCAACAAAGGTTGATGTGCACAAGGCAATTGATATGGTCCAAATTGACTTCTAAAAGATTTTTTATTGCTCCATTTAGGGGATGTGAGCTTTGCTAACTGGGCCAGCATTTTCATTGCCGAGGTTCTCCTGAGAAGGTGATTGTGAGTTGCTGCCTTGAGCTGCAACAGACCATTTTGTGTAGGTAACCCACAATGTCATTAGGAAGGGAGATCCAGGATTTTAACCCAGTGACTTTGAAGGAATAACCAATAGAGTTCCAAGTCAGAATGCTTAGTGGCTTGGTGAGCAATGTGTTGGTGGTGTTCTGATGTGTCTGCTGTCCACGTTCTTCTGGATGGGCTATAGGTTTAGAAGGTGCTTTTTAAGGAGCCTTGATGAATTCTGTAGTGCATCTCGTAGCTGGTACGTACTGTTGCTGCTGATACTGTTGCTACCATGTGATGGTGGTGGAGGGATGAATGTTTGAGGATGTGGCATTCCCCTTGGTTCCCATTGACTTTAGTTTTGCTAGGGCTTCTCGAGGTTGCCCTTGATCAAATATGGCCTTGATGTCGAGGATGACCATTCTGACTTGTCCTGTTAAGTTTAGCTGTCTTGTTTCTCTTTGAACCAAGGCTGTAATGATGTCAAGAGCTGAGTGGCCTTGGCAGAAACCAAACTGAGCACCAGTGAGTGCTTTATTGTTAAGCAAATGTTGCATGATAGCTCAATTGATGAACCCTTCTATCATTTTATTGAAGGTAGAGAGCACTCTGGATCACTAATTGACCAGGCTAGATGGATTTGTCCCTTTGTTTTGTGGATAGGATGTAACTGGGCAATTTTCACATTGTCAGGTAGTTGGCAGTGTTGTAGCTGTACTGAAATAGCTTGGCTGGGGGCTTGAAAAGTTCTGGAGCAAATCTTCGGCACTACGTTGGTCAAATGTTGCCAGGACCTTTTGTAGTATCCAGTACCTTCGGCTATCGTGATGTCACTTGGAGAGAATCGAATTGGCTATAGACTACCATCTATAATGTTGGGAACAGTATAGACGAGGCTGAGAAGGATCATCCACATGCTGCTTTCAAGCCCTCCAACAATTCTTGACAACTCAAACTGAGCCAAAACAAGTGTAAGATTCAGCACATGAAGGCAGATTCAACAGTGGCGGGAGCGGGAGAAGGAGGAGGAGAAATAAAAACTAGAAATTTCTGAACTCTGAAAATTATTTTGATTAACTGTGTGAAACACTAACATTTATGAGGGAACTGATTTAAGTTTTCACAATTTTTTTTTGTGCTAGATTATGCAGTAGAGGAACAGCCCTCTCAGCTCTCTCTAATGCTACAGTTGGAAGAAGGAGGCCCTGACCCTCTAGTTTTTGTATTAAATGCTAACTTGCTTGTTATGGTCAAACTGGTCAACTGTAAGTAATGTTGTTTCTCTCATGATTAATCTCAATTTTTTTTTTTTTAAGAAATCCAATTTTTCAACTAAAAAGCTAAAATTTAAAATTCAAACCTAAATCAATAAGCCCATTAAATAAATTGAGACGAGTTTAGAATCCTAGACAAGGTTAGTTTTTGTTTTTGTGCACTTTAGAACCTTCACCACCACACAAAGTTGGAAATCCACATTTCAATTCTTCACATCTATCAACATAAGATTGTAAGAATTAGGGGCAGGAGCGCAGGAATCGACTAGTCTGTCTGTCAAATAAGATTGTGGTTAAATGTGGCTTCAACTCTACTCTTCTGCCTGCTTCCCCCTGCAGAAGTTTTCTTATGTTTTCAAGTCAATCACTTCTCACTGCTCTAAACTTCAATTAATAATATTCCAATGTGCTCAGTTTTTCATCATAACATGACATGTTCATCTCCAGAATCAGCCCAGTGAATTTTTTTCTGAACTGCTTCTAAAGCATGTATATCTCTCCTTGTATAAGGAGCCCAAAACCTGTGTATTGACCTGTTCCACAGTCTCTAGCAGTTTAAGTAATTGCTAAATACAACAAAACCTGAGTGTTTTGATGGCGTTGACCTGCCAATGAGGTGACCATAATAGAAGGAATCCTTCAGAAGTGCAATACACAAAATTTAAACTAATCAAGGTGACAGATTTAAAACAAAAATTAAGTGCAAAAGGGACTGAGTTGCCTGGACTACAAAGATTGATTGTTGGGCTTAAAATTCACATGGTAAATGAGCTAACGTTAAGATACCTCTTGCTCTATTTAGGGTTTAATTGATTGATAATGTAAAGAATTGGTTCCATGTTTTAGTGGAGATTTGTGCCCCTTCTAGGCATAGATTTTGATTTTCTTCTTGTCAGCTTGAATTCTACTTTAAATTCTGAAAATCTTGTCTAACATTCATCAACATGTGCTTCTGACAGAAAACTGATTAGAAACCTGGGAGATTTGGGCTGTTTTTGCGTATCAAATTGATGCTTTTCTAAATTTATCTTTGCTCTGAAATGGACCCATTTTGTGCATATTCACGTGCTTCTTAAAATGTATTTTGGATGTACAAATGCATAAATAGATTTCTTGAGGTCAAGGTAAACTTTTAGCAGACCATCAGGTTGCTCTTTCATTGGAGAGAGATGACTGACGGTGGTTTAACCTGACGGTCACCCTGTCTCAGGCGAAGGGACAAGTTGAGAAGGAGAGTCCTTTGTGGTAACGTCAGGTGGTGCGGGAACTGAACCCACACGGTTGGCATCATTCTGCATCGCAAACTAGCTGTCTGGCCAACTGGACTGAATTAACCCCCAAAATAAACCCCCGTAACAAATAATTGAAGGTAGAATAGAATCACGATGATTACAACTGTGTGCACCCTTACTTAGCAACAACAGTAAATTTCAATTGAATGCAAAACTAGGCTGATCTGAAAAGTATAGGATAACAAGGGTAAACAAGAATGACTGGGACCTTTTTTAAAATCAGTTGGGTAACAGTATTAGTAACAGAATTTGGGTAACCTTAATGTTGGAGAATAATATTCCCCTTTTATACAGCCCTGATGCCTTTGCCACTGCCCTCTGTTTAACTCTTTGGTGAAATAGTAACATGCTTTTTTAAAATAGTACATAATTTCTGTAATTTATAACTGAGTTGTGCATTTTATTGAAAATGTATAAAGTGCATTTGAAAAAAGCATCAGCAGATAATTATAAGACAAATGTACCTTATTGGAAAAGTTAATATGAAGTGTTTTCTCAGATGTAAACAGGAAGTGTTGGTCCTTCACCACCAAGGGAATGCATGCTGTCGGACAGGCAGAGATCATCATCCTCTTGCAATGTTTACCTGATGAGAAATGCATCCCGAAGGACATCTTCAGTCATTGCATACAGCTTTATCAGGATGCTCTGGCAGGTATAATCAAATGACTTGGAAACACTCCTACGCATGGATTGATTTACAATGCCCCAAATTTTGTGCCAGGGCATGTACCAAAGAATATGTGATCTGCATTGGAGATTACTTGTGCAGAGCTGTTGTCTAGTGCATAATATAATTGAACTTCTTTTGACAGCAGTCATTTTGATTAATTATGCTGACTACATACAACTTAATATTGAACATCTGTACACTGCTTTTCATTTACACTATTTGTACATAGATGCAACTTCAACTACTTTTTACCAGTAAATATTCATTTGGTTTACAACTTGACGTTTGTTGATCTCTTTATAGGCAATGTTGTGGGAGACTTGGGTCATTCCTTCTTTACCCAGAGTTTTCTTGGCAGTAGAGAACATGGTGGATTTTTGTATGTTACTGCCACTTTTCAGTCAATGCAAGATCTGGTACTTCCAAACCCACCTTACCTGTTTGGCATTCTAATTCAGAAATGGGAAACTCCTTGGGCTAAAGTTTTCCCCATCCGTCTTATGCTACGTCTTGGAGCAGAATATAGATGTGAGTAAATTAGCATAGATTTATAAGCCAATTCCGGTAACAATTGGAACAGCATCTTCTGATGGGTACTTTATTTTGCAGATTATCCATGTCCGTTGTTCAGTGTGCGTTTTCGTAAACCTCTGTTTGGAGAGACTGGACATACAATTATGAACCTACTTGCAGTAAGTTGTTCATGGGCATATTCTAAGAGAAGGTCTTTGATTTTCTTCCCTTGCAAGATATGTTACAATGGTCATTATGAACAAAATGTAGGAATAATTTACTATGAAAAATTATTAATGTAATAGTTTTGATGATTTGAATTTTAGAAAATTCAGTAGGTTTTAGAGCTTCAGTTAGATGTAGATATGATTAAACCTCTCTTCTCAACTTGCAGCATCTGTTTAGTTAAACGAGAGATGTCTTAAACTTAAGAGTCCAGAACAATTTCACCATGTTAATTGTTGTCTGTCATTTGCTGCAAGTCAGTCACTGACAACAGAAATGGTTTCACATTAAGACACCTTCCTGAGATAATTTATGAAGTTTTTAAAAAAAAAACTAACAGAATGGCTTGTATATAACCAGTCTCTGAAAACAGTTTCTTCTAGAAGTAAATGTCACCTAATTACAGCTAGTCATAAATGTCTAGTGGTATTTTAGGTGTAGGTTGGTCATTTGTATCTGCATTTTGAAAGCCAGATGTGTTATCTTTGGATTTTATACTCGTAAGGACTTCTCAAAGATTGTAAAGTATACCTGTTTTAGAAGAAGGATTTTTGTACTTATGTTGATTTCATTGAATACTATTTGCAGCATTTATTGACACCATGACAGTATTGTTATTTTTGGATTTTCTTATGAGCAATAAATCTTAATTGCAAATTTTTGTTCAGAAATACGCTGTTACTATATTAATATCGTTTTTAAATAAATCTCTTCATTCAGGATTTTAGGAATTACCAGTACAAGTTACCTGTTGTGCAAGGACTTGTTGTGAACATGGAAGTAAGGAAAACTTGTATCAACATACCCAGCAATCGATACAATGAGGTACCAAATTTAGATTACTTAAAAGCTGCTAATTAAATACATTGCTATGTTTGCAACTCCTTTTATGTGCTAATTACAGAAGTGGAATCTTCTTTTCCCACTGTTCTTGTAAATCCGAGGATATTGAGAATAGTTCTGAAACCTTGGTTCCACAGCACTTGCTAAAGTCAACTAATTACTATTCTGTATTAGCATTCCTGTTCAATTCTGCATTACAGCCTGTAAGGCAATGAAATGGTTTTCATAAATATCAAATGGCCTTCTGGATAATGGAGATAACCCTGAGGCCTGTTAAGATGTTGCTACTTGTTATCATGGGAGAGTCCTAAGCTTCCTTGGAAGGATGCATTCAGTATTTCATTCTGTGATCATTGAATCTACAATACAACGGTTGGATTTCCTATGAACAGAGCAGAAAGAAAGCTGGCATCACTGTCTTGAGTGATGAAAGCAACTGTCTGTCTAAATATGGTGCTGCCTGGACATAAAATAGTCAACACGACAGAATGAAAGTAGTTTATTTTATCCTTCTTTGCTCCCAGTGCAAACCTCCTACATCCTCTGCTCCCACATCCAGTGTTTGTCAATGCTCCAAGCGAAACCCCAGCCTTCATGTCACCTCCCCAACCTCTCGTACTTTGCACAGACGTTTCCTGCAGCCTGTGCCGTCATGGCTGGGTGCAGCCACCATATTGTCTCGTGGATAATTGCTCTGGTACCGTTCAGTAATGTGTATAACAGTAATCTATAATTCTAACACTGTTGCTTCTGTTGACTAGAAGGGCATCAGGGGAGGTTGTCAGTTAGATGCTTAGCCTGTATTGTGGCAGCTGATGTGGTACAACTGATGTCTTTGGTGGCAGGAGCTGCATGGGCTGGCTGTAAAACATCAGATTACCTTTTTATTTATGGGGATGAACTTGTTAAATTTGCAATACACTACACACATGAAATGGAAATAGTGAATTTTTGTGAAATTCCTGCAGGGAATGTTTTGTAGAGGCATTTGACAGCTGGCTTAAATGGTAGCTAATGGGATTTTTAACTCTGATCATAGTCTTGAGCCCCATATTGGGTGACTATATTTTAATTTGATATTGTTTATTCATTATTTTTCTTCAAAACATTGAAGAACTGTGAATAAAGGCCCTTTTCACAGCTACAAATATGATCACAACTGAATAGGGGCTTCTTGGGTTGCCCAACTACTAATGCATACAATGTAGAAAATGATATTGAACGATAAATAAATACAGAACCTGGAGTAAGCCCATATATTATGAGATAGTAAGAACTGCTGATGCTGGAGTCTGAGATAAGTGTGGAGCTGGAGGAACACAGCAGGCCAGGCAGCAT